ACGGTAGGGGAAAGCATCGAGGAGGATTCCTCTATACGCCAGCGCACACTGACAAGAAAAATCTTCTGCGATACAGCGAGCATCCGCCGGGACGCCGCGGCATCCACCGCTCGCCGGGAATTGATTATATCACTAGCGACTACGTAGTCGAAAAGTTGCTTTTGAAAGTGTGTTGTGGGTTTCATTTTGTAATGGTGGATTGGGATTGTGTTATTCTCGTTCGAAAACATTCATCGTATGCCGGCCGACTCAGGTTGTGGAAAACGGACCTTCCTGCGCTAGCCGCTTAGCTAGCGCTTCCCGGCATGCGGCCTCCCGCCACTGTATCCTCCATCGTGCTCTCAGATTCTCTAGAGAAAACTGCGCTGCGATGCCCCGCAGTCGATCACCGAGCATTGAAATGTATACCTTATTTCAATCGGATGAGTATTAAGTGCAAATGATAAATTTAAAATCCTCTGCCGTCACGTCCGCCAGTCTGCGCAGGCCATTACCTCCTCACTCACTCCTTTCTTACACATATCGTCCCTGACATAGCCCATCTTTTTTAGGCCTCCCTCTATTATTATTATTTTATTACTCTTTTTGCGTCTAACTCGACTCTAGATGACGGGAGGAACACACCGCCGACCATCCCGCGATGTGAGTGCTCCATGCCGGATGTGCGATTTACACAGCGCTCGGTTCGCAAAGCACTTTCTCCCTGGACGTCAGCAAGTCGAGTGAGCACGATGGAGTCCCTCCCATTGTGCTGAAGACGTGTGCTCCGGAGTTGGCACTGGTTTTAACGCGTCTTTTCCGGTACTCCTACTCCCAAGGCGTAGTCCCGAATTCATGGAAGACAGCTTTGGTCCACCCGATCCCTAAAAAAGGCGACCGCTCAGACCCGTCCAACTACAGGCCTATCGCCATCACCTCCTTGTTCTCCAAAATAATGGAATCCATTATAAACTGCTAGCTCATGAGATACCTTGAGGATCACCAGCTGATCAGTGACTGCCAGTACGGTTTTCGTCGGGGTCGATCAGCAGGTGATCTTCTAGTTTACTTAACTCATAGATGGGCGATGGCAGTAGAGTCCAAGGGGGAGGCATTGGCCGTTAGTTTGGACATAGCGAAGGCCTTCGATCGAGTCTGGCACAAGGCGCTTCTTTCGAAGCTTCCTTCCTATGGTCTTCCCGAGAAATTGTGCAAATGGATCACCAGTTTCCTTGCTGATCGGCTCCGATCTTGATGCTCATCAAGGTCGTAGTAGACGGTGCATGCTCTAATTTCAAGCCTATCAACGCTGGTGTTCCACAAGGCTGCGTGCTATCACCAACGCTGTTTCTCCTGCATATCAATGATATGTTGCTTACTGGTAGCATTGATTGCTATGCGGACGACAGCACTGGGGATGCCTTATATACCGGCCGTGCCAACATTTCTCGGGAAAACGTCGTCGAGTACCGGGACAAACTTGTGTCTGAAGTCGAGTCTTTGCTTAACAAAGTCTCGGATTGGGGCCGACTAAATCTAGTCCGGTTCAATCCCCAGAAGACACAAGTTTGCGCGTTTACCGCTAAAAAGAACCCCTTTGTCGTATCTCCTCAGTTTCAAGGCACTCCCCTTGCTGCCTCAGCCAGTATCGGAATCCTTGGCGTCGACATATCGAATAGCGTGCAGTTTCGTGGTCACTTGGAAGGGAAGGCCAGATTGGCCTCTAAAAAGCTTGGCGTGCTCAACAGAGCGAGACAGTATTTCATACCGGCACATCGCTTGCAACTTTACAAAGCGCAAGTTCGGCACCACATGAAATACTGTTCTCATCTCTGGGCCGGGGCACCCTAGTGCCAGCTCCTTCCACTTGACCGCATCCAGCGCAGAGCGATTCGAATCGTCGACGACCGAGTTTTTCCTGATCGGCTCGATACACTGGCACTGCGTAGAGATGTTGCATCTCTTTGCGTATTTTATGGCATCTATCACGAGGAGTGCTCTGAGGAATTGTTCGGACTAATTCCAGCCGCTCCATTTCACCATCGCACATCGCGACAAAACTCGCGTTACCATCCATACCATCTGGATGATTGGCGGTCCACCACTGTGCGATTTAGAAGAAGTTTTCTCCCTCGCACAACTTCTTTGTGGAATCAATTACCACCAGCGAATTTTCCGGACCGATACGACTTAGGAACCTTCAAGAAAAGAGCTTACATCTTTCTAAAAGGCCGGCAACGCATCTGCAATTCCCCTGGTGTTGCGGTTGTTCATGGGCGGCGGTAGTCACTTAAATCTGAACCCCTATTCAATAAAAAAAAAATATTTCCATCACACTTTTTTCCAACTTACCTCTACAACATTTTTTTTAAACAAAGAAATTAGCAGAAATAATAAAAACAAATTTTATTAAAAAGATATTTTATTTAACTGTCTCAACAATAAAATATTTACACAGTTACAATTATTTATACACTGTACAATAGAAAATAACGAGCTTCCTCCTATTTACATACGGTTACAGCGAGCAAGCCTAATTTTGGACCCACCATATGCTTCGATGTACACGACTCTCATATATTTTTGTACGTACACCTTAATTACGAGCGATTCTAATCGATGATCAATGCAGTAAAAGTAAAAACTAACTACTGAACCAAGTAAGTTTACATCGAATGTTATAGAACGTCGGATATAGACAAAGAAATTATTTAAAGGTATCAATTGTATAAATTTCCAGTTCACTTGGATACTAACAGTGACTGATTAACAAAAAGGTCCTTTAATATTGAAAATTTCAATATTTTTTATAAGTGGGCCATTTATTGTAAGAAACAACTTTTAGACAGAGTTACATTTGTAGTACTTCTTAAAATTATAATCCCTATAATGTCAATTACGCCCGAAATAAAAACTGATTGCTGACGCAGATCGTCATTACTTAAAAGCTTAAAATCTTGTTTGTATATAATATATTTTTTTGTAATATCGTTAGCCTCCAGTTAGCAATTGTTTCTGTATAAAAGAAAAATTATTAGACAACGACTTTTCAAATCAATTCTTACGATAAATCTTGAAAGACACCACCGATTTAGAGCAAAATACTTTTCGTAAGACGCGTGATCACAGAACAACTAAGATGTTTGATTAATTTAAATAAAACGTCAAAAAAATAGGCCAAAGTAATTATCCAAAGGAAGAGTACTGTATTATACACATTTCCGTTCATATCCCACAAATATACTAAGTTATCACAATTATTATTTTACACTATATAATATACATTTATACACCTCCACCAAGTCCGTCCTAAGACATATCTTCCATTTTACGTATTTAAGTAATAAGTTTAATGTGTTGTTTTAAAAACAATAATGATAATAATCTTACGACTAGAATTAATTTTTTAAAATTTATGTTAGAAATTCTTAATGAATAATATGATTTGTATTATTTTGTAAAATGTTGTAACATAATTTTCTTATCTATTTACCAAAATACAACAAACAAGTGTCGTTAGGGGTGATTATGGAACATGCCAGTAATATCTCATACCTCCTGATGGTAGCATTAACTGTCTCATGTACGCATCGTCAGAGATACTGTAGTCATCACTCAGCTAGCCGAGCGTGGCGATTACGGGTAATTCTTGCTCCAACCAGAGAGGTTTGATGCTACATCAATAGTCTTAAGTAAAATGGCGTCCATCTTACAATAGCGATGGCAAATCTATGAGCATTGCAAACGCATTTCATATAATAAACCTAAATAAAGGCGGTACCAGAAATAACATACTAATATTAATTATTATAAATGTAACAAGAAACACTTTCAACGTTTTGTAAACACTAATGTGCATAATATAATGTATATTTTGCGATCTATAAATACATAATGCTAATTACGTGTGTATAAGTCGCAATATATTTAAATGTATGTATATAGTAAGATCCTAATTTGTCTAATCTGAAAACATAATTAATTTACCTAATTAAGTAAACACCAAAATTATATATTGTTTTTCATTAAATAATCTACATTAACTAAAGAATTAAATTAACTGTACATCTTAAGTAGATTGCTTAGAAGTTCCATTCATATAGAAAATTATATTTTTTATATCATTACAATAAAGCCCTGTACTTGCATCTAATTCAACAGTCGTGTACTAAAAAAATATCTAGTGTTACTTTTAAAAGTTATATTTTCAAGATAGATCTAAAACCTATAAGTTTAGTAAGGGATTTGTTTAAAAATTTAAATAATTTTACTGAAAATATAATGTACATATTTACACTTTGATTTAAAGTCAAGCACAAAAACAATTTAGTGTTATTATTGATGCATATCAGACAGCGAAAGAGAATCAATCAGGCTATATGTATTTCAAAAAAGCTATAACTGGATTTCTTGCTAACATATTATGTAAAGCACATTCACCAAACAACCACTGAGTTTCATATCTTTGTTTGTTTCGTTCAATTTCTTCCACATTAAAGTTATCCACACTATAACATTCTTTAAAGCCTACTCCCATAATATCTTATGAACTTTCATATGTCCCTTTCCTATATATTCTACATTATAGCACCTCCAAGAGGTTTCAGTGAACCAGCTCTGTGAGACTTTTTTCGTAATAAGAATCTTGTAAACAACCAAAGGAATTGCAGAATAACTGGATTTAAAAGAAGTGACAAATGTAGACCACTTAATGAGTAAGTGAATGTTTGGTCATAGACATCTAAGTTTATCCTCGATTAAGAATCAAAATGCAAATGCATTATCCCCCTTGAAGTGCCAGTAACAAGTCTCCCCCAGTTCTCATCGCCCAGCATACGAAACACAGCAGCATTATGATGCTATCTTACTAGTATTCTGTGGGAGTCTTCCTTTCCCGGTGGAGTGGACCCATTCGTGCTGCAGCGGAGCTCTAAGCATTAGTCTTCACAGTAAACAACAGGTTTACTTCGTGTAGTATATCATGTGTAGCGACGTGACCTCTATCCGTCGCTGGCGTCGTCCTAGCTGTCAGCGTGTTCGGGTTCGAGTTTCGCACCGGGCCGGATCATCACCAGCTTCTCGTCACCCTCGCCCGCAGTGTGGATGGTTTCTATGGTGAGCATCATCTTATCGTCACAGCTGTCCTCACCGGAGTCCGAGTACATAGATTGTGTTGATGTTGCCACTTCCTGTAACAAGTGATAATGTTAAAAACTAACTTTAAAATTTATTTTGCAATTTGATATCTATGAAATACACAATTAGACTTAAATTATAGATTTAAAAATAAAAATAAATAAATTAAAGCAAGCCATTATCACTGAACACTGATCTAAATGTCAATATCCCAAAGTAGCTTTTTGTGGGTTGGATTAGTCTTGCATAAATACATCAAATTATAGGAGACAATGCAGGTGGAAATCTTTATTTTTTTAAGTTATATTAGTAATTGGGAAAATACCATAAATCGATCTTCAAAATAAAGCCCCTTAAGTATATTTTGACGCCAATACATTAAATTAAAAAAAATTAAATATATTAAAAGTTAGTAAAGTTGCAGCCTATTTACGTCCCACTGCTGGGCACGGGCCTCCTCTCGTTTCTGAGAGGGTTTTAGGGCAAGACTATATTAAATGCAAATTAATTCTAAAATAGTTGTCAAGGTTCTTTAAAGTGCTTAACAGCAAGATAACTATGAATTATTTTTGAATTTGCTTCTATTGTAAATTTCATAAGTATTTATAGAAATTTTCTGTAGACATAATATGAAATGCTATTGTATACTATTATTCTGAACAAGCTTAAAAAAAAAGAAAGCTACAGATGCAGTTTCACTAACAAAAACATAATATTATATAAAATGTAATCCTAAAGCTCACATTTCACTGCAGTCTTTACTAATATCTGTGCTTAAAGAAATAATTAACAGAACAAAAGTTTAAGTATTTATGAGAAGGTTAGCACGAATAGTTGTAGCACGAATGGGTCGGCTCGACCGGGGAAGGACCACGCTCTCACAGAAGCGTACAATAGCAGCTTAACAATGCTGTGTTTCGTATGGTGAGTGTAGAGAACCGGAGACTCTTTTTACTGGAAATGAGCCATTCCATCTTAGTTCTCACGGGTGTCAACGCATCTGCATTTTGATTCTATATTGAGGATAGATGTAGATATCTATGGGTCACAGCAACTACTTACCATCAGGTGGACTGTGTGCTAGTTTGTCACCCTATCCTATAAAAAAAAAGCTTTGGAACTATCTCCCTAACTTAACTGTTATTGTTTTAATAAACAATTAAATAAAATACGTACCGTAATTCTATTTTTCGTGTGTATTCGGACATGTTTCGCGAGGTGATCAGACCTCATGAAACGTTTGCTGCACTCGGGACACTCGAAGCGTTTCTCTCCTGTGTGCGTTCTTCTATGCCTCTGCAGCTCATCAGAGCGAGTAAATCTGCATAATCCAAACCATAAATAATATAGACAAAGTCGAGTTAGTCGAGACAGATGTATTTTTATAATATGTGATTTAGAAATAACACCCTATAAACTGTACCGCTGTAGAGCACAGGACTCCTCTCATAACTGAGAGGACAATAAAAAAAAACAATATTTATATTATTTTAGTGTTTCTAATTCATATAGTTAGGCTGAAGCAGCAATGGGCAAGCCATATAGCTTGAGGAAACAACTACTGATGGAGAAATGTTTTTGAGTAACAGCCCCATGGCAGTTCGTAAGTAATATATTTTGGAAAAGGTTAATTCAAAGAAGAACTATCTGATTGGGGTACTGCAATCACTATCCAATTTGAGGCAATTAATGCCTTTGTCAAGTAGAATACAATATTAATCTTGGTCACCTCTTTTCTTTTTCTAATTTTATTAACCGCTCTGAACAGAATGACGACCGTGTACTAGTTGATTAGGGCACCTGGCTACTAACCCATAAGTTTTGATCTAATAAGCCAAAGAACTAATGAAGAAGCCAAGAACCAAAATGCAGATGTATTGTCATTGCTGAAAATTAAGATTAATTGCCTTGTTACCAGTAAAAAAGGACTCCTGTTTCCTCATCACTTATCCTACAAAACACGAAATCTATTGGAAATACCCAAAAAACTTATTTAAAAGGAAAGCATATAAATATACCTTTTACCACAGAAGAGCCAGTTGCATAGGAATGGCCGCTCGCCAGAATGCCATCGCAAATGCGCCCTGAGATGTGACGTCTTACCATACACCTTGTTGCAGCCTGGGATGTGGCACACATGCTGCTTCTTACGGTCCACTAGACGGCTATAAAAAATACAATTTCATATAATACCCGCCGACTTTTTACATAATTAACATAAATAGATAGTAAATAAAATATCATAGCAGTCAATGGTTTCTAATAATTAATAATTGCCTGGTAATTGATATCCTTATCAACAAATACAATATACAATGTGAATTTGCTACTTTTCATTGTGTTTCAAAACTTGACCAGTTTTCAGTTTTAAGCTAGATTAGACATTATATATATATATATATATATATATATATATATATATATATATATATATATATGTCTTATTATAAAAGTAGTACATAGTTTAGGCACTTATCCCACAGCCAAGAATGAACGAGAAGCAAGTAGAGCTAGGAACTAGATAAGAGTTTGCAAGCGGCGAGAAACGAGTGTGTAGTTCCGATAGTTTTGTCGCAGGACTATAAGCAATTGTACGAGTTGTTCTAAATTCATAGTAAATGCGTTCACTCAGATCCGTACTGTAGAGTAACATGACTGCAGGTTGGTCTCTCGGCGTTTATTCTGACCGCCAAGCGAGCATCGCTGAGCGAGTTTTATCTTTGATAGTTCTTGTCGTTGTGACTAACTATATGAGAGAGAGTTCTCACCAGCAGTGTGAACAGCCAGCGATTATATTAATATATGTATATCTTTTATTGACACAGGATCTATATCTATGGTTCGTTTCTTGAGCGAGAAAATAGTCGATAGATAATTGCTTCCTCGGTTTAAACTATGATTTTGATTTTTAAAAATAGTCTTATAGGAATACACATCATGGGAACTCGATTTTTAGTTTGTGGAGCAGCAGTACTGAACACAATGGTGATGGAAACAGGAATGGTAGTCACTTTTCTAGTACTAATAAAATTTACCAATTTTATTAGTACTAGAAAAGTAGTACAACACTTCCCACCCTGGTCGGTTGTAGAAAGCTCGCTTCCCACGAGTGGTGCTGCAATAGTGGACTGGGTGTCGGTACTCACTTCTCGCCCTGGTCGCAGTTGGGGCAAGTGCAAGCTACGCGCTTCATTAGTCGCTTGCCGGTGGGGCTGGCGGCGCGCATTTTGTTCTCGCACTCGCCGCCCGCAGCATTACTGACGGTCACCACCTGCCATTTGCCTGGCTCATTCGAGTCCTGCTGGATTTGCTGGCCCGTGTAAGTTGTTGTTTCTGTAATATATTATCTTAATAAGACACACCCATGTTATATGATGCACAAAAAATTATATAACATAAACAAAATATTATATCAATAATATTTTGGGAAAGGACCTGGGGAAGGACCATGCTCACAAAATACTAGCGTAGAATAGCAGCTTAATGCTACTGTGTTTTGTATGGTGAGTGTAGAAAACCCCAAAGACCTGTTTTACTGGAAACGAGGCATTCCATCATAGTCCTCAGGGGTAACAATGCAATTGCATTTTGATTCCCAATCGAGGATAAAAAATGTAAATATGGCCCACAGTATCTTATTCCATAAAGAAAAAAAAACACCCATTTTCGCAAGAGGATTAAGCTATTTGACATCCAGATACTGTTTGTAATTATTTTAGTAAAAGGATTCAAATATATGTGAAATGGTTTAATTTTTATTTTGAAAAATACGTTAAGGCAAGTGAAACACCAAAACTGATAGTTGATGGTAAAAATGTGTCGGTATCTGTAACACTACTCTTATCAACTCATCACGTATACAATTTTAATTGTTACTATTACATTCTTTTTTAATATAAAATTGAAATTACATTCAATCTTACAGGCCATGGACAAATACAGGCAACTTCAAAGAAAGAAAAACTTCAAACTTAATCACGCCTGAAGACTAAGATGCAATGCCTCAAAGCAGGGTTACAAGGGATAATAATAAAATTATGTACTGATAATAATTATCAATGATAACAGCGTTTAGTCCTGTGTATGATATTGTGCCTAAAGTCTATGGCGTGTATCCGAACGCTGGTAATATTGTGCGTCAATTTTTTAGCAATATGACAAATGATGTTGGTTTGTTTAAATTTTGATAAAATTGATTGTATCAAACAAAGAGCATTTTTTTGTTTTGAAATAAAAGAGTTATAATTATTAAAACACTTTTATTACACCTTATATTTCTGAATAATTATCAGATAATAATCGGCTAGAATAGAATAGAATAATTTTTTATTTGGTATTGATTATTACATAATTCTTATTGAAAGTCATTTTTTATTAAATAACACATTTTTAGAAAATATCTCTGTCCTGGGAAGAACCAGCAATAAACCCAGCGGGACTATTTTTTTCAAACATATTTCACTTAACAATAATTTCGTTTATACAATTTATAAATGATTTATCATAGAACCAGCATGGTGGCGATCACCTTATTCCCAGGGGTTATTTTCATTCATATATTCCTTGATATTATAATAACCCTTTTTGTACAGTCTTTCTTTAATAAAACTTTTAAACTTGTTTATTGACAAACTTTGAATATGTTCTGGGACTTTGTTGTAAAAGCATATTATTATACATTGCGCCATAAATGAATTACTGATTCTGTGGAGTCTAGTAACTAGTATTACAAGCTTATGTTTGTTCCTAGTGTTTAAAGTATGCACATCCTTATTCTTATTAAAGCTATTTATGTTTTTATGTACATACATTACATTTTCATAAATATATTGCGATGCCAAAGTTAATATGTTTATTTCTTTAAATTTTTGTCTGAGGGACTCTTTACAATTTAGATTATAAATCGCCCGAACGGCTCTCTTTTGCAAAACAAATATAGCTTCAATATCAGTCGCATTACCCCATAGCAAAATTCCATAAGACATTATGCTATTAAAGTAACTAAAATACACTAATCTAGCTGTCTCAACATCTGTGAGACTTCTAATCTTTCTTACAGCATATGCTGCAGAACTAAGTCTGCTTGCTAATTTAGATATATGGGGGCCCCATTGAAGTTTCGCGTCAATAATAATACCGAGAAAAACAGTGGTATCCACAAGACTTAACTCCTCCCCATTTAACAGCACATTGGTATTCAAATGTTTTACATTAGGTATTGTAAATTTAATACACTTTGTCTTATTGCCGTTTAAGAGCATATTGTTGTCGTTAAACCAATGTACTAATTTCGATAGAGCATTATTTACATCGTTATGATTAATTAACTGCCATTGGAGTTTGAAAATTAAAGAGGTATTGTCAGCAAATAATACTATATCGTGATTGTCCCCTACAAGATAAAGTAAGTCATTCAAGATAATTATCGGATAGTTATCAGCTAATTATCAATCTATTTATCTATTCTATCTAGATAATTTGCAACCCTGCCTCAAAGCCTAAATTATACTGGTTGTACCTTTCAGACTGGAACACAGCATTGCAAGTAGGACTATTTGGCGGCAGAAAAAATTGATAAATACCCAGATGGACTCCTAGGCAGAAAATTAATTCTACCATATAATAAGGCTGCATTTCCAACAGATCAGAGAGCGAGGATGCGTAGCGAGGGAGGTGTTTGTTAAGAACCAATAGAATCACTTCATTTACGTAGCCTCGCTCAGCGCAGCTCTAGTGGAAACGGCTCAGCAGAGCGGGGTTTTTATATATACAAAACAAGGGAAGGATGTGTGTGAGGAATGTGTTACAAGGGATGTGTGCTAGGAAATGACGCAAGACGCAGCGTGCAGTAGCGCGAGCGCTCCGCTCCCAGCGCACCCCACCCCGCTCGCTTCTCACATGATCCCGCTACACATCCTCGCAACGCTCGTCTATGCACCGTTTCACAGCGTCTCTACGCATCCTCGCACCGCCCAGCTACCTCGCACATCTGGTGGAAACGCAGCCTAAATGTGAAATAAATACCGTTACCGTTACAACCTATTAAAGTCCACAGCCTTATGGGGGGGTGTCTGCCACAGTTGCCACACTTGGCGAGCGGGTTGGCAAATACATTTTTTTGGTCGTTATTAGGAAAACAGTGCTGCCCATCTGAGTTGTTACAACACTCACTAGATGATATGGGGTAGTGGATAATCTTACACAGTCACTACCACTGAAATATAATAATTAATTACCAATAACAGGTTGCTGCTGTGTCTGCTGTTGCTGCTGCTGTGGCTGCTGCTGCATTTGCGCAAGCTGCACGCCCGGCATTACCGCCGGCACCAGCTGCACAGCGCCGCCGAGTCCGCCCACACCCAGCGTTGGAACCTGTGCCCAACAAAATTCATAAAACATGTCCAATATATCATCACATATTTGAATATTTTTTTATTTAATTCCACCAACAATATAATGTATATTATTGTGTATAGAGAGCAACAAAGAATGTGCTTACATCTGAAAAAATACTATTGATAGGTGAAAAACTGGTGCCTAAACTAGGTAAAACATATTATATCTTAGGTCACCAGGTCTGTAGATCTCCACGGTCAAAATTGATAGACGTGTCTACAATAAATGATTTCCTTCGCAATTTAACAATAAAACCATATGCACTTATACTCTAATTAAACAAGTAAAAACAATTGGTAAAATTAAACATTTTGTACAACATAATTCAATATACATATTTATATTGAATTCAGTTGTGTATTGTAAATGAGAACATGATCATAATCATGATGATCATCAATGTAGTCTAAGTCAATTAAACACGCATTATTAAGGATAACTCAAAAACTACTGGTCAGATCTTAAACAAATTTATACGGGATAACATGAGAAGCACCAGCTTAAACAAGACTCATCAAAATTGGTTCACCTAGAAAAAAGTTCTGAGATAACACAACTTAAAAAAATACAGTCAAATTGAGCACCTCCTCCTTTTTTTGAAGTCGGTTAAAAATAATTAGAAATAAAACAATGACATAGTAAATATCAAAGAGAGATGGCTGATTGTAAGCATAATCTTATATGGACCTTTTTATAACCAAAATCTTTCAAATTATAGAAAGCAAATATCGAATGTGATGCCAACATTACTTTAACTGATGTTGAATTTAGTATGCATCACATAAGATCTTCACACATAAGGGCTACATTAGGCATGAATAATTAGGATGAACAAGTGCTTCTGTTTATGTGTATGTACACTTGTGGATATCTCTGCCACATTTGATAGCTCATGATTATTAAGAAGATCAAAAATTAACCAGGAGAAAGTCATCATGATCATATAAATTGAGTCATATATCATTTTTTTTACAAAATCCAAGGGACCATTAATTTGTCTTTTAAGTTTTGGGAAAGAAAGTTTCAAAGGATAGCCTCAAACCAGTAAGTGAAGTGTACAGTGGCCCCCCCTAGATGGAGTGACAATGAAGTTGATGGACAAAGGTGGCTCAAGACTGAACTTTGTAGCATTCCTTAGGTATGGTTATGTTCTGCAGTAGACTTGTGATGGGCTATAAGGATGATGGTGAAGATGATAATGAAGTACTGGAAATGAAAATAACTTTAATTGATGGAGGAATACTTCTATATACTAACAAATAAAAATGATAAACAAAAATTGCAAATTGCCTAGCTAACTAACTTATACCCAATCCCTGCAACCAATTGACATATGTAATAAAGTTCTGAAACTTTTTATAATACACAAAAATCAGAAATATTTGTCTAAGATAAATATTTTTTTATAGAATATAAAACAAGCACACACTCTACCTGATGGTAAGTGTATACTGTGATCCATTGACATCTACATTATTTATCATCGATTAAGAATCAAAATGCAGATATATTGTCACCCCTGAGGACTAAAATGGAATGCCTCATTTCCAGTAAAAAGGGTCTCCGGTTCTCTACCTCACCAAATGAAACACAGCAGGATTAAGCTGCTATTTTATGCTGGTATTCCGAGTGTGGTCCTTCCCCGGTCGAGCGGATCCATTTGTGCTACCACCATAATATAGCTGCATCTTGACTCAAACTTTTACTTTACACGTAAAGTAAAAGTTTAATCAATCAATTGTTAGTAGTGATGCAACAAATACTACTTTTACGAATACGAATACAGATATCGAACCTACTATTCGGCGAATACGAATATCTCGCCATGGTAATAAAAAACTAATTTATTTGATGATTTTCTATTGTTCTAATAATTAAAATTTACCATAGGAAAATTTTTATTTAAAAAACGTATAATTTGTAGATTTTCTGGTTTTAGGCGATTTCTTTTTTCAGTCTGGATGTTCCCAGCAGTTGAAAAAAGTATTTCCGAGGCGACTGTACATAGTTTCAGTAAAAAATATTTTTGGGAGTCCCCCCGTCGTTGAGGCTAAGGGCCAAACACACATCGTATTTTTACATGCCGACGTCGCGCGTTATCCAAGTCCGCCAGTAATTGAGTTGCGTACAAAAATATTAGTTTTTAAATATTTGTGATCAGTATTCGCCGAATACGAATATTCAGTAAATATCTACTATTCAGCGAATATGAATATTCATATTTGTTGCATTACTAATTATTAGTCATCTAGTAAACATAAGTATACACAGGATTAGACTAAGTCACACACAAAGTGCACAGTGCTAGATTTTTACACAACTTAACAACAGAAAACAAATTATACATAATTGTAAAAACATGACAACTATGTATATTTTAATATTGATTACATAAATATATATTAAACAATTTTTATTAAATAAAAACCGGTCAAGTGGTTGCCAGCCAAAATCAGTAATAATTCATAAATCATATCTGAAATATTATACATAATTTATAAAATTAATTATTAGTAGGACAAAACTAAAAATGAAGATAAAATAAAATGAGATCTTTTTTGAAGTTTGTTTAGATAAATATCTGCAGATGATGTAGATAGAATTAGTGGAGATTGAGTATAAGTGTATAGAGTTTAGACAGTAAAACAAGGTAATGAAAATTTCATTTTGTGTCCTTTTACTTTTTGATATTTTACAATAAAGATCAATAAGGTCAAGATTTGTTAAGTTTGAACATCAGATAATATATTGAAGAGAATTAACACTATAATTTAAAAAAAAGTATATATTACATATCTAATTGTAAGAATTATAATACCTATATAGAGTAAGACACAATAAGGTTACAATTATTGAAGTTAATATTTTTGTTCCTTCTTATACTTACTACAGTCATAAAATAATCCAAAAACACAGAATTAATAATAGCCCAATTATATTTTGTAGTTAGGTAGCTTCCTGTGTTTAGGAATCAATTATTTACAAAAACAATAACATAGGTAGTTACAATAGTTTTATTATATATGTAGGAAGTAATTAGAATGTAGAGTTAAAACAAGTCTTTAGGCTAGAATAGAATCATTTTTATTTAATGTATTACTAAGTGATTCTATTCTGTTCTAAAGACTTCCTTTTTGACTCTACATTTTAATTACTTCCTCCTACACATACTTTATGCCAAAACTATAAAAATATACGATTTGACAGGACATTGCGTGACCCACCCTTTTCTTGTCCTTGTGCATATTCCATAAAACACGAGTGAAATTTAATGTCTAACATTCATTACACAAATTTATTACTCCAGCAAATTATTAATTGATATTCAAGACTATCAACAATGTTGAATCAAAAAAACCTTACAGCTTAAGTTTTTTGTTTACGTACGTACGATGTTTTTTGTCGAATTTTGGGTTGAATTTGCCGCCGTCGCCTCTGTCGTTGCCGTCGAGCGTAACTTCCGAGAATTATTTTTACGTCGCATCGCGATAACGTCTCCGGCAAATATGTATTATTATCGATAATTATGAGTTCTTTGACGACCAATTGCTTACTTAGCTCACACAACCCAAAAGGCAAAATGTATATTTGGTCAGTTGCTAGGATATTTAGATAAACTTTTTCGTTGTTTTATTTACTTTGAAACACCATCACAAATACTACCTATTTTTAGAAATAAATGACCTTATTACGTCACAATCACATATCATAAGATATAATAAAATTATAATAGCACCACAAGACCACTACACGATAAAATAAATATATATCCACGACACCACGTGGATCAATGACTGCTGCTACTAGACGGGGTTACTAGTTCCGAAAAAATATACTCCTACAAGTAACACAAAATCCAAAAACTCGTAAATCCAAATTTTTAATTCCCCTAAAATTGTTGTAATAATTTACTTGCCCAACCCAATACACAAGTACAATGTTAGTATTATATCTTTAAAGAAAGCAACGCTTTCAGTCAGTCATGTATATAGTGTATTCAATTATTTATATACATATATGAAAGGTATATATTTATTAAAAAGTGTAATAATATACTTAATATAGTTTATCTTTACGTGTTTTATAAACATTTTATATTTAGCCCGAATAACTAACTAAAAAATTTTATATTGCGGACTTTCACGAAACATATTTAATTTATATTGAGAACAGTGACGTAACAGTATAATATAATGAAAAAAAATGTGTACAACATTTTGTCGAATTCAATGTTAAAAATATCCAAAAGATCGTATTAGATTCTATTCTAATAAATAACGGAGGGAAAAATGTCTCGATGATGTAACAGCGTGATTAATATAGGCTGATTTATAAAATAATTTGCACGGTAGTTATTTTTAAATATGTTTTTCTGTTAAGAATTAATTAATAATAGGGTCTGCATCCCTTCGCGTTACCTATACTAGTTTCTATAATTCGGAATTTTTCATACTTAAGTTCGTTTATTCAAGATAATGTCGATAAAAATAACTTTTAGTAAAAAATGAAGGCCAACTTCAAAGAACTAAAAGGATTATATAATTTTACATTTTGAAAACTTAGTGTATAGAAGTATTAAAACTCCGATTAGAAACAAAATGTGAAATTATTTTTAGTTATTTGAAGACGAATTCAACGATTTATTCAAATTTTTCTTAATTCTTTCGTTTTGTTTGAACTGGGGAACATCTACTATTCTGCTATCTTAACGGGGTGGATTTTTTTCCAAATTTTATGGAACCACACCTGAAGTAACTTATTTAATATAAAAAAAAGAATCATCAAAATCTCCTAAAAAAAATATAGTCGAATTGAGATCCCCCTACATTTTTGAATCAAAAAATGAATCATCATTAAAAACCAAATATTTAAACTTTCCCCCTAAATTTGGGGAAAATTTTACCCCAAGTCAACATTAGTCACATATTTCTCGTAGTCTAAGCAAATACTAAACATGACATATAACTGTAGACAGCCCTAGTGAATACATTGCCTTGCTACCAGTGGTAGCTAGATGGCGTTACTTTGATGCATATTTTAACTTTGAATACAATATCCTTTAGCAAATAATGTACTGCCATATCCAATAGGTGGCGCGATGAGTTGGAAGATATTCAATTTTACATTATAATAATTCGACCAATTCGCCATACATACAGCCACTAATCCTTTATTAGTTTTGGCAATAAACCAAAAGTAATGTAATACGAGTCATTTTTGTCCATAAAGTTACAGAATTTGGTAATAACTACCTCAATCGGTTTAAACCTTAAGAGTATTTATAAGCATTTTATATACTACTAGCTGTTCCCCGCGACTTCGTTCGCGTGTTAGGGTTTTTATGTTTCTGCGCGGAACCCTGATTCTTTTTCTAAAATAAAAGTAGCCTAAGTTACTCCTTATGAAATCAGCTATCTGCCAGTGAAAGTCCCGTCAAAATCGGTCCAACCGTTTCGGAGATTACCCGGAACAAACAGACAGACAGACAGACAAAAATTTTAAAAATTGTATTTTAGTTATAGGTATCGTATTTACTTTCATATGCATTTAGTAAAAAACTGTAATTTTGATATTACAAACAGACACTTCAATTTTATTTATATGTATAGATGTATAGACTAGCGATCCGCCCCGGCTTCGCACGGGTGATTTCTGGATCTAGACAACAGCGCCACCTACCTGGTCCAAATGTGAATTCTATCCATCTAAAGATCCTTTCAAACACAACAAATTTCATCAAAATCGGTCGAGCCGTTTTTGAGTATTAGCAGTTTTAGCAAGATAAACGGGCTTCAATTGATTTTTATAAAACGTATTCAAGATTTTGAAACTACAGTGTTGTCCGAAGGTAATCTTACATTTACGTAACATTTTTAAAATATATTTATTCATTGTAAAAATCACAATTCAGGTCGATTCGGTCAAACAAATTATCAAACGCCTGTATTTTTGATTCTTTGATTTTCCTAAAATTTGATTCTATTCTAAAATCACAGAGTTAGTAACTACATTTTGATATGTTAAATGTATAAAATTACCTATTATTACCTAATAAATTTAAAGAAAAACTTATTGGAAATGGTGGAAAATTATTACACATATAAAATAAAAAGTCTCATCATTTATTTTTACTTACCTAAATACAAATACTATTATGAATTCCAATAGTTTTTTTTTTCTATGAAATTGGAGGTGACAAGCGAATTTACAATCCAAATGGTAAGTGACTACTGCAACCCACGTACATCTGCAGCCAACACTGTATATATACAGTAATTTATGACTCTACATTTCAAACCGAACACAGCATGGGCGCACTGCGATGAAATAAATAACGGCAAAGTAGGGAAGGGACGCCCTAGACATTAGAGATATTATATTGGAAATGGACCATATTAGGAGTACCCTTAACTGATGAGCATGTATGCGTAGATATATGGATGGATGTGTGTCAGGATCTTGCCAAATGGAGGTCCGTAGTCTCTGCCTACCCCTCTGGGTGACAGGTGGTGTAAATAAGTATGAGGGTGGTGACTTGCAGAAAAAAAAGAGCCTAGATATATTAAAGCTCGAGGGTAAGGGGAACGGGGCAATCCGGTTTTGTTTATATTTTTTAATAATTTGTTAACTTCCTTATTGTTACATATTTAAATAACTAAAGTGAAAAAGGGTAGACTTAACGTGCGGAGGTGTGTGAATGTATTTAATACTTATAGAAATCACAGTAAATATAGGCGAAGAACAAAAAGTCTGTACAGTGTCAACGGCTTTGGGGCGAAACCAAATCTGAAGCCAGGTGTTTGAACATAGAATAAATTGTAAAAATAAAAAAATGGGGTCCAATATGGCATAGCGCAATTCAAAGATTATTTTTGCATTACTGTTGCGTTGAAGAATTTTGTCAAATATCCAAATAAAAATCATATTCCAGTTTAGATTTATTTTCTCACGAAGACTAGATACATAATATACTTAGTAATTGATCATCATGATTGTTATGATATTAGAAGTCATTTACGCTTTACCACTGGTTTGGAATAAACCTCCGTGCTAAAAGAGAAACAAACCCAGCGGGACTCTTATTATTTAAAAAAAAAAGTAATAAAAAAAACAATAATATGTTGCACAATAGAAACAGCATGGTAGCTGGTTTGCACATAAACTTTATACGTGCGGATACTATTGATGGAGAAAATACTGGTCACTGAAGGAAATAGTGAAAAGCAAGGATCTAGGAAATCACATAAAAAAGAAAACATTCGAGACCTGTATTCTACCAGTTCTTACTTATGGCTGTGAAACTTGGTCAACAACACTTTACCATAGGGAAAGGCTAACAAAATGCCAACGTGCCATGGAAAGAAGCATGCTAGGGTTAAAAATCAAAGACAGAGTCAGGAACGACGACATTAGAACAAGAACAAAACTCACAGACATTCTTACTCGGATAGACGTCCAAAAATGGAGATGGGCTGGACATTTGCCACGCCACCCCATTAACAAATGGAGCAAGCAAGTCACTCTCTGGCAACCAAGAGACGGCAAAAGAGGCAGGGGTCGTCAAGTCAGGAGATGGGAAGACGACTTGAAACAGACAGCGGGACCATTCTGGTTGAGAGTAGCAAGGGACAGGAACCATTGGAAGGAATTGGAGGAGGCCTATGCCAAAAGGCACACCGAACTTAGGGACCTCTTGTAACCCTATGTTTAGGAATAAAAGGCTATTATTATTATAAATACAAATACTATTATGAATTCCAATAGTTTTTTTCTATGAAATTGGAGGTGACAAGCGAATTTACAATCCAAATGGTAAGTGACTACTGCAACCCATGGACATCTGCAGCCAACACTGTATATATGCAGTAATCTATGACTCTACCTTTCAAACCGAACACAGCATGGGCGCACTGCGATGAAATAAATAACGGCAGAGTAGGGAAGGGACGCCCTAGACGAAAGTTTATCGACCAAATTGACGATATTATATTGGAAATGGACCATATTAGGAGTACCCTTAACTGATGAGCATGTATGCGTAGATATATGGATGGATGTGTGTCAGGATCTTGCCAAATGGAGGTCCGTAGTCTCTGCCTACCCCTCTGGGTGACAGGTGGTGTAAATAAGTATGAGGGTGGTGACTTGCAGAAAAAAAAGAGCCTAGAAATATTAAAGCTCGAGGTAAGGGGAACAGGGCAATCCGGTCTTGTTTATATATTTTAATAATTTGTTAACTTCCTTATTGTTACACCTTTAAATAACTAAAGTGAAAAAGGGTAGACTTAACGTGCGGAGGTGTGTGAATGTATTTAATACTTATAGAAATCACAGTAAATATGGGCGAAGAACAAAAAGTCTGTAGAGTGTCAACCGCTTTGGGGCGAAACCAAATCTAATGCCAGGTGTTTGAACATAGAATAAATTGTAAAAATAAAAAAATGGGATCCAATATGGCATAGCGAAATTCAAAGATTATTTTTGCATTACTGTTGCGTTGAAGAATTTTGTCAAATATCCAAATAAAAATCATATTCCAGTTTAGATTTATTTTTTCACGAAGAATAGATACATAATATAGTAATTGATCATCATGATTGTTATGATATTAGAAGTCATTTAGGCTTTACCATTGGTTTGGAATAAACCTCCGTGCTAAAAGAGAAACAAACCCAGCGGGACTCTTATTATTTAAAAAAAATAAATAAAAAAAAACAATAATATGTTGCACAATAGAAACAGCATGGTAGCTGGTTTGCACATAAACTTTATACGTGCGGATACTATTGAAGAACGGTAGTATATTTGAGTATAATACAACACATAATCAATCATATAAATCTGTCTTTAGAATTTAGACAAAACATAATAACCATGAAGAATGTCTATTGGTTTGAGAAATGATATTAATTTTGAAATGAAATAAAGGCGATCCATCAAAGTTTCATTAGTATCTTATGTAGTGAAATGGTTAATGTTAATACAGATATGACGAGTTTGAACAACGACATAAATTTACCAAATTGTAAGGTAAAAAGAAAGATGAACGACGGCCATTTTGCTAAATTACCTGCACAACGTTCCGCACGTTGGTCCCGGCCGGTATGACGGTGACCTGCTGCCCTGTGCTGGTCAGTATCTGCGGTTGCTGTTGCATACCGCTAGAGTCCGCTTGCATCGGGTTGGATACCGCCTTTTAAGTCCGAGCAGCGGGTGGATAAATATATATTACAATACTAGCCTTATATACATGTTACTTAGAAATAAATGAATTTAATATACACTACATTTTTAATCTATTAACTACATAATATACTACTGATAACTACTTGTATAGTAAAGTATACCATTTGTAATTATATTTAATAGTAAAATAAAATTAGATTATATATTTAGGAAATACACAGTACTTTCTGTTGTATAAAAAATAGGCGCAAATTTAATTTTGTTTTCTTAATTTTAACATATTGAATAAACATAAGCAATCGTTTATGCGAAAAGTTCTTTGGGCGAACTATAATCGAATTAATTGACTAAATATTTGAACATTTGCCAAATTCATTACATTAGTAAATAAAGGAGATATTAGATTTTTTATGAGATAGATCAAGACATAAAAAAAATAAAAAACATTAAAGTGGACCTTTGCAAATGTGTCTTCCCCTAAGATATTATAAAATTATACATGTTATGTAATTCTACGTAAAATACAGTATATATGTACTACAATAAGTGCATTGTTTCAGGCAGTGTGTACTGTGTACTGTGTACCTGCAGCGTGATGGTGGCGGGCGTCTGAGCCGCACTGGCCGCCGCCTGCGTCCCAGCGCTGGGCTGCACCAAACCAAACCCACCTTTGTATTTACACCACCGCCCACTACTACGTACACATACAACTAATGTGGTATTTTTAGATTTTACCACAATATACAGTTGCAATTATTTCTGTACTGAACGTCAAAATTATTGAATTTTTGTCAAAGAAATGTAATTCTTGGTAAATTTTTAGGAATATAAATACGTACGTACCCATTTGAACTATTTGCAGTATATATTATGTTTTTTAGTATTTGCTATTTTAAGTATGTACTAATACGGTTAGATTATTTATTTCTCTAATTACTTTACATTGTTAGTTCACCGTGAAGTGGATACGGCAACACAAATCTATGTGTATAATATATTCATTGTGAAATAAGGCCGGCCATTCGGATTTCCAATTCGGGATTCCGAACGCAGCAAATCCAAATAAAAATCAAGGACCTATCATATACGTACAGTAGTTTTCCGTTCGAAATTTTGCGAGCAAAACGAGATTCCGACTCGTTCGGCATTCCGAAACGGAATCCCGAAACGTAATTCCGAATGTATGTGGCCGGCCGCCGGCCTAAGGTTTAAGAAGAATTTATATGTTTGACAGCCACAAACTCCTGGGATAGTTAGTGGATACAATATTTTTGTTAGTTATTAATTCCCGTTAACAATGCTTCTGGGACTGTTTTTCCTAATTTTGGTATTAAAATCAGCGTTGTACCTTCCATAACAACATGCCGAGTGGCCATTTTGGCATGACTTAAGAGCCAAATAACCAAGCGATGCGAAATATATTGTATAGGTCATGTAAATTTATACTCTAAGATTTAGGTAGTTACTTTTAATAAATGTTGCAAGTAAGAAATTTATACATATATTATATTCCTGTATTGTTATAAGATATAACTAGGTATATAGTTGTGTTATGTAATTATCACAATATATATATATATATATAGGTATATATTTATCAACAATAATTGTTAGTTAAGATAATTGATATAAACATAATGGTGTAAATATTTACAGAGAAATGTAACATTTATAACATATTAATAATGAAACTTCCTTACCTGCACATTTCCAAGCGACGCTATTTGTATTTGTTGTATTTGGCCTGACGGAGTTAGGACGTTTGCGACTTGAGGTTGTGCTTGCATCTAAAAAAAAAAAACAATTTTATTAAACCGATTCTTCACCTATTTGTTGTCAATATACTATGCATTCAAACTAAACTGTTTGCTTCGTATTTCGTAATGCGTACAGCCATGGCGTGGCATAATCTTGTAATAATCCGGCGACTATATTTCCGTCTGAATACAATGAGAGCGTCATCAAGGCAAGTGTGAATAGGCTTTTGCTACGCGAAGTCAGTGTGATTCACCATCTAGGGCTTTATTACCACTTACCACCAGGTGGGATTATAATAAAATTCTGGCTTATAATAAGTGAATAAAATAGGTTTGCCTGAAAAATTTTGGCCTAAGAACTGTAATCTTTAGAAGTTTTCGCTTTTAGTGTCACAAATGATCTTCCAGCTGATGGTAAGTAGACCAAGGACACCTACAACTAACTTTTAGAAAACGCTGCAGAAACGTTTTTAAATCTAAGATGGAGTGATGGAGATGGACACTGGGTCTTGCCATGTCATTTATTCTTAGACCAACAAAGAAGATGAACGGAGCGCTGAGTACAAATGAAGTTACGCCGAAACCAAGCTAAAACCATGTTCAACTTATTTCTTACACTGTTACTTTGTGGTCTGATATGATAGTGATAACTTTAGTGATTCTGAATCATGAGAGGCCTATGTGTAGGCACAGTAAATATATAGTAGGAACAGTACGGAAACTTCCTACAAACGCTCGAAACGGCACACTCACACAAACATGCGCAACGACGAGACTTCTAAGCGCTCGTCGCGGTGCTCTCAGTAGCGAGTGTCGCCTCAAGACTAAAAATGCCACGAACGTATTGCGTAGTATACGGATGTTTGAATTCGGCTTCATCAAAACCGGCAGCTACCTTATTTTAAGCTTCCTGCTGATTTTGAAAGATAAGAATGATTTTTATTGTCATTGTTATAATCGTTATCAAATTATAAGTCCGTGTGATCGATCATAATGAATTCGTGAACTTATTTGTACATCCAGAATGCGGCGGTTTTGAGGCTATTTAAAGCTGATAGTGTAATAGTGGTAACAAAAAGTAAATCCAAGATGGCGGCTGCAATAGGTATCCTTTTTTTCGTCATGGGTGCCATTTTCATGGGTTTCGAGGGTGTTGAAGTCGATAGTGCTGTCGAAATATAAATCCAAGATGGCGGCTGCAATAGGTATCAATTTTTTCATCATGGGTGTCATTTTCATGGTTTTCGAGGGTGTTGAAGCCGATAGTGCTGTTGAAATGTAAATCCAAGATGGCGGCTGCAATAGGTATCAATTTTTTCGTCATGGGTGTCATTTTCATAGTTTTTGAGTATGTTGAAGCCGATAGTGCTGTTGAAATGTAAATTCAAGATGGCGGCTGCAATAGGTATCATTTTTTCGTCATGGGTGTCATTTTCATAGTTTTTGAGTATGTTGAAGCCGATAGTGCTGTTGAAATGTAAATCCAAGATGGCGGCTGCAATAGGTATAAATTTTTTCGTCATGGGTGTCATTTTCATAGTTTTTGAGTATGTTGAAGCCGATAGTGCTATTGAAATGTAAATCCACGATGACGCCTGCAATAGGTATTAATTTTTTCATCATGGGTGTCATTTTCATGGTTTTTGAGGGTATTGAAACCGATTTTTCCTTGTTGCTTTAAAAAAGAACACATTAACTGCAAAGTAGCTGATCTAATTTACAAAAAAAAATAAACAAAATCGGTTTCATAGTACCCGTTCCTTGTTTCCCAACAGTTTATTTTAAAAAAAACCTGTTCATTAGAATGATATTTTTTACACAGTTAAATTCAATAACAAAGAATTCCGAACTTGCCGTAGCAGACGAAAATATTTTTCTGTAAATAATTTACAATAATCTATACAAATAAATAAAATTGAAGTGTCTGTTTGTAATGTCAAAATAACAGCTTTTTTACTAAATGCATATGAAAGTAAATACAGTACTTATAACTAAATAACAATTTTTAAAATTTTTGTCTGTCTGTCCGTCTGTTTGTTCCGGCTAATCTCCGAAACGGCTGAATCGATTTTGACGGCACTCTCATTGACAGATATTTGATGTCATAAGGAGTAACTAAGATTACTTTTATTTTAGAAAAAAAATTAGGGTTCCGCGCTAAAAAATAAAAACCCTAACACGCGAGCGAAGTCGCAGGGAACAACTAGTGAAGAATAAAGTTACATTTGCGTCCAACTGCGGTTCGCGTACGTTCCCGCCGAAACTTGTAAAAGGTTAAGCCATAATGACAAAGTTAAAGTTCTACAAGTTGTTGTGTGTTAATATTAAATTGTTTTCCGTGTTTAAACTATCATTTTTTGCTGAGATTACTTATTTAAATTGTATTTGTAAGCTAGTTATTTAAATTCGATTGATTGATCACTACAGAACAAAAATATAAAAAAAGCAATATCAAACATTAAAAGTTACAACCCTATTGCTTCAATGGAGCGTAGGTAATTATATCCTCAACTAGGGTTAGTTTCCATACTGTTCATATTTATACTGTGGTGTAGGTGGAGGGTAAGGGACCGCGATCATATAATTGATAACAGAGATGAAGTGTTTTAACCGTGAGAGGGCTATCTGTTACGTACACAGTTATCGATTGCAATAATGTTATTGATAATAGTAATAAAGTGTTTCTAAATCGTGAGAAGCCTATCTGTAGGTCTACCTACAGATAGGATGTCTACAGTTAGAGACTGTAATGATATTGTTAATGATAATAGTGATGAAGTATTTTTAAATTGTTAGATGCCTATGATAACATATGTTAGAGACTTTGATGATGTCATTGATTACAAATCTTGAGAGCGACTTATGGCAAGAAATGGACTTTTATATAATGGCGATGATGAGGATCATAGTGGAGTGGTCACCTGCTGCAGCTGCGGTATGATCTGCAGGTGGTGCGGCGCGTGCAGCGGCACGTGCACGGTTTGGTACACGGTGTGGCCGTTGCCCACGCTCACCGGCACCTGCACGGGCACCATGCCCACGCTGCCCACGCCGCCCACCCCGCCCACGCCGCCGCGCACCGCTACGCCACCGCCTAATTGTCACCCCCACGCTTATATTCATTACATTTAAAATATCTTTTATCTTAATAATTACACAGGTAAGAGAACGCGTGTTAAGTCATGAGCCTGAGCGTCCGCCTTCGACTATTGTCTGTTCGCTTAGATACAGTCGTCTTTGTGTCGCGCTACCTTGGCACGTACCGCATCTCGTCAAAGGCGCATAGAAGCACCGTAGTGAGTAGTTTCTTTGCTACCTAACTTGTGTTTATTTATATTCGTCTCTTATTACAATAACCTTAATGTTTTTCTATTCAAATTTTTTTTTTAATTTTTTAAACTTTTTGAAAAACTTTTATTTAACAAACACGGTAAAAAATAATAAAATAATAGCAAAATAATAAGTGCGCCTCTAGACTTACCAGGTTTATCTTAGCAAACAGACTATACACACTGCACAACAAATGGAGTGCAGTCCTCGTCAGAATCAATGGACTTATAATATAATAATTTATATTTAATGTATGTGCTGATTTACCACGACGATCAAAGAAAAAGTAAGGGCCTACCTATAACAATAATTTAAAAAAATTCAATGTATATAAAAGCTAATAAAATTGAATGGAAGATATAAGAGCCATGTTCAGCAGTTGACTATTAATAGGCTGTAATGATAATAATCATGATGATAAAACAGGTGTTGGTGGCTTCAATTCAAAAAATAGTATAACCATCTCATATATGTGCGATCCAGATCGACAATAGAGACAAGTCAAAGAAGGAGACTAGAGACAGACTGCGAGGCGTGGCGATAATGACGAATCCCCTTTATAATTGGAGAAGTCTATGGCCATTCAACCGTGGGGTCATGGAAAGAAGGAGTCCTCCCATAAATGCGACGGAATTTTTCATCAAACAAGTGTTTTTATAATTTTTTTCTGCATCATTTATAAAACACTAAACTTACTTACTTTCTTAGAATTATCAGAAACACACTATGTACCTAGATAATAGTTATTATAAACACTAAACTTACTTTCCTAGAATTATCTGAAACACACTATGTACCCAGATAATAGTTACTATATGTGCAATTCGATACTGATAATTTGAGGAAGTTATAAACAACAATATTAGAAGAAAGTTTGCAATTTGTCTTCAGAAAGAAAGCATATATCCATATAGTTATTGCCAAATGACGTGGTCCTTCACTGCCGGCCAGGTGAGGAAGCTCAAGGTCGCTTAGCGAGCTATGGAGAGGGCTATGCTCGGAGTTTCTCTGCGTGCTAAACTTAGAAATGAGGATATCCACAGTAGAATCAGAGTGACAGCCATAGACCAACGGATTAGTAAGCTGAAGTGGCAATGGGTCGGCCATATAGCTCGACGAACCGACAACTGATGGGGAGGAAAGGTTCTCGAGAAGCAGCCTCGTACCGGCAGGCGAAATGTAGGGCGACCCCCCACTAGATGGAGTGGCGACCTGGTAAGACATGCAGGAAGTCGATGGGTACAGGTGGCTCAGGACCGTGCTTTGTGGCATTCTTTGGGGAAGGCCTATGTTCAGCAGTAGACTTGTGAAGGGCTGTAATGATGATGATGATGATATTGCCAACCTAAAAAATTATAAGCTCAAAATAAATTACACGATCGTCACTCACGCACTGGGGGGCCACCTCACACTATGTTTCGGTATGAGACTACCACTTGAAAACCTTTTTTCCCCATCGGTTGTCGATTCTTCGAGCTGTATGACCGGCCCGTTGCCATTTTAGTTAAATAATCCGTTGGGCTATGTCGGTTACTCTGGTTCTACTGCGGATATCCCCATTTAGAAGTTCATCACCCAGATTAACTTCGAGCATAACTCTCCCCATAGCTCGCTGAGCGACCTTGATAAAGAGGTAAACTAATGGATGCAGGTGGCTCACGACTGTGTTATGTAGCAATCCATGGAGGAGACTAAGTTTAGCAGTGCACTTGTGGCTCTAGTGATGATGATGACACCCTAATCAAACGTTACACTAGTTTAGTCTTAAAATAAAAATACGCAATTGAAACGAGTAAAGATTATAATGAGATTTTATAGCAGTATTGTTAAATGCATGAAATTAATGAACATGATGATCGAGTGAAATGGTAATATGCGATAAAATTAAAAAGGCAAAGTAATTGTGGTGGGTTTTAAGAAGCAATGGGAAACCGTCGAGTATTATCGTGTGAAAAGAATTCTTTAGTAAACACTAATTTTTTTTACGAAATACTATCCAGTGTCAATGTTACCAGTATAAAAAATATTATTTTCACACGCATTGGTTTTAGGAAACCGTCGAGTATTATCGTGTGAAGAGAATTCTTTAGTATATAATAAACATGTTTTTTAATCTAATTACTTTTCAGTGTTGCCAGTATAAAAAATCTTTTCACACACGTCGGGCTCAAGCCTGTGTACCAACCTTGCGGGGGCGGACTGGTGGAGGGCTTGTTGTCCTTGGAGGCCGTAGTCTTGTCTGCAGCCCCGTTGCCGGACAGCTGGACGGACGAGCCAGCTATAGAGATGGATTGGCTTGTCGGGATTTGAATCCCGGCGGGGAGGGAAAAGTTCGTCCCCGGGATCGTGATCATCGGTTGATTCCCGGTGAGGGCGCTCAGTGGAATGGATATGTTAGAGCCGGGGATTGTGACGGTCGCCTGTTGCTCTGTTAGCGGGCAGGGTGGTGGGGCGCGGAAAATACACAGATTAGTATGAGAGAAGTACGTTAGAAGCAAGAGTGACAGTTGCGATGGTAGTGACGCATGAATTGATTATGTCGTTAAGCTGTCCATTTAGTACGTTTTTTTTTCTATATTTAATTTGTTTGGGATTTTTGTCAAAATGACATGCCAATCGCATCATACCTTAACTAATTACTGCTACACTAGGACAAAATAAAAATGTATAATTGTGAGTACTAGTTAAATTACCAACCTAAAAAGAAACTTATAATAGATAGAGAAGATAATTATTCCGTCGTAGAAACAAGCCGGAATAACCCTCTTGACATCTTTGATTTGGTGTTTGATAAAACCATTTGCACTAGGATCGACATCCAAAACATTTGCGTTAAATTCTTTCTACGCAGCCTGTCTATATTTTTCATTCTTGACACACTCCATGACAACAAAATTGAAAATGTTTACCATTTGGTAAACATTTTCAATTTTGTTGCATACATCACAATTCGGTGAAGGTTTATTTTCCCATTAAAAAAGCGAACTTTGCTGATGGAATATGACCAGAACGAAGCCTTAAGGCTAACTTAACAAAATTTCTGCTCAGATCACAATCATTAAACCAAGGTACGCGATAAGGCTCGCTTTGTATAGTTCTATACCAGATCCCTTTCGTTTGAGATTTAGTACGTTTTGATAATCATTTTTTTCGAATTTTAATCTATTCTTGTTATCTTTATCGACTTTCAAATTGAAAACTTTTAGCCCCGTTTTTAGTTTATAGTTGGTTACGCATGTCGAGTGACATCCTTACGTACAAACGAAAATATGATAGAGAATTTCTCATACGAATTCTTGTAACATTATGATTATGAAAACGAAGAAAACAAAATTATATATTTCTCCGAATGATTTTTATTAAGTTTTATATTCTTTTTTTTATAGGATCGGGTGACAAACGAGCACACAGTCCACCTGGTAAGTGGTTACTGTGACCCATAGACATCTACATCTATCCTCAATAAAGCCTCAAGATGCAGATGCGTTGTCACCCGTGAGGACTAAGATGGAATGCCTCTTTGCCAGTAAAAAGGGTCTCCGGTTCTCTACACTCACCATACGAAACACAGCAGCGTTAAGCTGCTATTTTACGCTGGTTTTCTGTGAGAGCGTGGTCCTTCCCCGGTCGAGCCGACCCATTCGTGCTACAACCATAATATAGCTGCAGCATGGCTCTACCACGTAGAATAAATGTAATATATTGACTATACGCGTACTAATATTCAAGATGTTGATGGGTGGTCCGTCCGCGTTGAATGTTTCGGCCGGTTTCGGTGGTAGGTAACTGCAGTCGATACACATAAAGAATTGTGACCCAATTAATCAAACTCGCACGAATCGACTCTAACTGTTTATTTCGATATTTTATCAGCTCTTCACTGTTTTATAGACAGATTTTTTTTTAATTTTGCATCTTGATAAATCAGAGAGTCGGGCGGTTGGACGATCGTTTATTGCCCACCTTTTCTCAGTAACATTTATTGGCACTATGATTTCATACTAACGCATCCTGTTGATTTTTAAATTCACTTTTCAAACCGCCGTATTGAGTTACTACGCTGAACACCGCGGGTTCGAATCTCGCACGTAAAAAGTGTTTGTATAGCGTACAAACAATTGTTACGGGTTTAAATGTTTGTCCTAGTGCAATTTATGTATGTAAACTGCCTCCACGATGTAGCGGCAAATCGTAGTTCGACGTTTAAAAAAAATACTAAAAAAACATGGACTCTTTATATTATGGCAGCTATTCGACATATTCAATTCATTCAATATATGTGTGAGTATTAAAATGAAACTTATGTGATATCTCATGCATTCAGTTTTCAATATATTTTTAAGATGAAAAAATGTAAGTAAATATGAACTAGGATGAACCAGTCAGTCCAAATGAGAGAATAGAAATGAAAAGTGAACAAAGCAAAGCCAGTGAACGGAAAGTGAATCCCAAAGCAATCCCGAAGCTAGGTGACTAATACTATAGTTACAAATAGGTACGTCGTTTTAAAGATACATTTATTTGTGTTTGTGTAATTCTGTTCATAGAATTTGTTCCGAAATGAAAGGGGCTGTGTGTATACATTATATTTTTATTAGAGGTCCAGTTATTTTTTGCTCACGTGAGGATTTCTTAATTTTTGCATGCTTAGCGGGCTTAATATTCTTTTTTAAATGTAACACTTAAATTAATTTGGTTTTTAGCAGTTTCTCATAATAAGAAAGAAGGAAAGAAACATTTATTGCAAACACGCTACACACATTTATAAACACATAACAAAAACAATACATCATTTATAACAAAAAATTTAAATAGGCACAGTTTAAAGACCTTAGGTTAAAAAACTTTCCGAGTTAATTTATTCGAATTCTACACACAGACTCCTCCATTATTGATACAAGAATAAGTATATATGTACATATGTTATGTGTTCCATGTAGTAAGCAAGTCTTACCAGCAGGTAGGTGCATGACATTTTGGAGAAATCCGGCTGGAAGGACCGGAGTCCTCACCAGTTGTCCGTTAACCAGACTCACTTGACCCATGCCGGAAAAGTTCTGAAATAAACGTGAATATTTTTTATTTAATCTACAAAAACCATAATACAGTGATCTAGTTAACATAAGAATGTACTCATCGAATTTCCTTAAATCCCTATTAGAATGACAACATAGTCTACTATGAATACTATGAAATAAAGTTTACTTAAGTAACTCATGTTGAAAATTTAGATAGCAATGGTGTTCGGTATTCATCATTTATGTATAAAAATCATATAAAGCTATATTCAAGGTTGAATCAAAAGTTTAAATTGAAAACACATCTTCATATGACACAATTAACAAATTTTTTATCCAGCCTTCAATATAGTTTTATAGGAATCGAATAAATGATCGGTGGTAACATATTATAAAATAATCGATCATCAAAATCACAAATAAAATAAATAACCTGTGCGTGCTGTGCGGGTATAAAGAGAGCTTCTTGTCCATCCACAGTGACGGCTTGCATGGGGGCGACTCCCCCCACTCCACCTACGAGGCATCCCCCGTAAACACCGCCTTGTTGCTATAAACAAAACAATAATAATGTTATAAGTACTTTATAATGCGGTTGATCTATGCTGCAGCTATATTATGGTTGTAGCACGAATGGGTCGGCTTGACAGGATGTGGACAACGCTCTCACAGAATACCACGTGCTGTTTTTGCTTTGTGTATGGTGTATTTAGAAAACCGGAGACCCTCTTTACTAGTTACAAAGTTTATTCTATCTTAATCTAAGGACGTGAGGGTGACGACCAATCTACATTTTGTTTCTTAATCGAGGATAGATGTAGGTGTTTGGACCATAGAATTCACTTACCATTGGATGTACTGTGTGCTCTTTTGTCACCTTTATATTATATTATACTATTTTTTTTTTCTTAAACTTGATATACAAATGTCCATTCCCGTCCAACCCAGATTACTTGAAAGATCCATATTTACTCAATACATTGGGCACGCAGGTGAGTGTAGAGTCGATATTGGTGTTGTTGCTTCCATCACCAGTCTGTGGAATGTAAGCCCACCGATTCTGTATGGATTCCGCCATTAGTGACCTACTATTGGCCAGAGTGTGGTCATTCTGCAGTAGGTACATCTTCATAAAATATACTTTTTTATATAGAATAAGGGTTACAAACGAACACACAGTTCACTTAATGTAATTGGATATTGTGGCCCATAGACATCTAAATTTATCCTCGATTAAGAATCAAAATGCAGATGCGTTGTTACCTCTGAGAACTAAGATGGAATGCCCCGTTTCCAGTTAAAAGGGTCTCCGGTTCTCTACACTCACCATACGAAACCCAGTAGCGTTAAACTGCTATTTTACGCTGGTATTCTGTGAGAGCGTGGTCCTCTACACCAGTTGAGCCGACCCATTCGTGGTACATAATATAGCTGCAGCATGTCTCTTTACACGATTGTCACACACGCCAAGCAAACGTGGCTATTTTATCAAATACGAGTATTAGCCGATCAAAATAAAAAAAGGCTGTAAACAATTAATGAAATAATGGTCAATATTCTAATACAGGTGAAAGCTTATTAAATATTATTGTGCTATGGAATTTCTTCTGCAATTTGTTGAAGCAAGATTTATATATTTTTGGATCTCGACAACACATGCATATATTATACATATAAACCTTACTCTTGAATAATTCTGTCTATATATGAAAACCGCATCACAATCTGTTGCCTAGTTTAAATTTAAGCGTACAGACGGCGGAAAGCGACGTTGTTTTATACTATGTAAAGAAGGGTCGTTGTGTAAAACTAAAGTAATTGTAAAGATAAGCTAAATTAATACGAATCATTATGAGTGCAAGTGGCTCAAGGCAATCCAAAATAATTACACTAACTACAATGTATGAACGAACAGTTCGTAAAATGCGTCATTTAATAATTTAAAATTAAAAATTTTGTACAACCAACTTCAATATAAATTATTAAGAATAACTCAAAAACTACTAGTCAGACGTTGATCAAATTTATATGGGACCACGTGAGAAGCACCAGCTTTGAAATAAAAAATAAAAAAAAGAATTATCCAAATCGGTTCACCTAGAAAAAATTATGAGGTAACACATATAAAAAAAACATACGGTCGAATTGATTACCTCCTCCTCTTTGAAGTCGTTAGAAAAAAAAAGATAAAAAGAGAAGGTAAATATGCTCCAAGCAAACCTGTAATAATTGCGGATGGATCTGCAGCAGCTGTTGCGGTGCATTTTGATACGTGGCGCCATCTCCCCCCGAGACTACGCCACCGCCTAACAGCGACTGAAGTTGTTGCATCGATATCACCTGAAATAATCACATTATATATAATAATAATTTAAAATTAAAAATTTTGTACAACCGACTACAATATAAATTATTAAGAATAACTCAAAAACTATTGATCGGACCTTGATCAAATTTATAAGGGACCACGTGTGAAGCACCAGCTTTCAAATAAAAAAAGAATCATCGAAATCGGTTCACCCAGTAAAAAGTTATGAGGTAACACACATAAAAAAAAATACAGTCGAATTGAGTACCCTCTACTTCTTCAAGTTGGTAGAAAAAAGGATTTCTTACAAAACGTAACATAAAAAGTATTGGTCATCTTTGTAACACCCAGGGCCGAAGTCACCTGGTAACTTTTAAATACTTAGATAAAGGTTTTGTTTTGTTAAATTTAATACTAATTATAAACAAAGGTCCCTTAAACCACTATCTAATCTAAACAATGTGTAATATAGTACTAACAAGATATGTATTGGTCTGCCAACAGCATGATACGGTTTTAACTTTTAAATACAATGTAGTAATTTATTTATTTATTTATGCACTTTACTGTACTAAAGGTACAAACAGCTGACTTAATGCCATATGGCATTTTCTACCAACCAACCGGAAAGTTAGTGAGAGATGTGTGTACTGCAGTGGGCTAGGATTATATTATAATAGTAATGATATTATGTACTTAACAATACTTTTATATATACACCATTAGAAAAATTGCGGGGAACAGAATAGAATAGAATAGAATAATTTTTTATTCAATATTGATTATTACATAATACTTATTGAAAGTCAATTTTATTTACCACTGGTTCGGAAAATACCTCTGTCCTGGGAAGAACCAGCAAGAAACCCAGCGGGACTTTTTTTTTTCAAACACTTAACAATAATTTCGTTTATACAATTTTTAAATGATTTTTCATAGAACCAGCATGGTGGCGATCACCTTATTCCCGAAGAGAGGAAAACGGGAACCGTTAGAAATGACGATACATAAGTCGATTCTACATATTTACTTTCTTTCTATTTATTAAACGTGATCTAATAGCCCATGTATCACAGATATAATTCCTTTAGGGAAAGCGTAATCTGAAAACAGCTATCACTTAACAAGAAAAAGATTCAAGGTTAAAGTTACATCCTATATTTTACAGTCCCACTGCTGGGCACAGACCTCCACTAATTTCTGAGAGGGTTTGAAAATATCCGCTAGGCTGCCCCAATGCGTGATGGCGAACTTCACATGTTTCTGAAATATATATATTTTTCTTTTTATTTCTCACACATGCCACGAAGTTTTCAATTAACAATTTCATTGGTGCCGGCGGGAATCGAACCCGGGCTGCCCATAGCTGTAAAATTTACCACCAGCGTTTAGCCCCTGACTACCACGGCTCAATAATAAAATGTTCTTTTTTTTACTTGAAAACCCAAACAATTATCAATTATAAACAATAATTGTCCACCTTGTATACAATGTTTTGTAGTTCTGTGCATCTCATCAAACAGACTCACTGGACGCATGTCATCTCACCTGCGGCTGTTGCACTTGGATACCGTTAGGCACTGTACTGGCTGCGTTTACTATTGCCGCTGATAATTCACTACCCTGAAAGCAAAATATCACATAATCAGTGTTAAACCTACAACGAAATATTTGCATCAGGTCTGAATTATTTTTAAAAAAAAATCTAACCCGCAAAATGTTAGAACTCTACATTATGTATAGAACAACCTGTATTATCTGAAAGGACACATAGATAACGCAATTACGTTACCAAACAAGTGGTAAAATTAAAAATGTTGTATAACCGATTTCAATACATCAATCATCAAAATCGGTTCACCTATAAAAAACTTCTGAGGTAACACACAAAAACAAATACAGTCGAATTGAGTACCTTCTTTTTTTTGAAGTCTGTCTAAAATTATTATATCGTAATATTATTAATAAATTTAAAAATGTTATTGTTATTTAAAAAAAAACTATTGGTAAGTCCAATTGTGCATGCCCTAAGGGCATTAAAAAAAAGTAAAGTAGTTTAAATACACACAAGTTTTCACTAATAACCTTATTATTATATTTCCAATTTTCCAATAATCTTATGTCAAACTTCCATTTAAAAAAAAGTTTGAAAAATCCAAAAAAGCACGAGTCATAATGCTCATTCAGTTCATTCAATGGTACAGTGAAATTGATCGCTCGAAATCACTATGGAAAGAAACATAGTAATAGCCTGATTATTGACAGAGGAAGAAGAAAATAAAATTCGAAGAAAAAGAAGATTCTGGATTCATAATATTAATTTAAAAGGGCAATTTTATGGAGATATGAAGGGGATATACTTTATTTAAAGACTTATTAGATGATGATGAACGATTTTTTAGATATTTGCATTTAACATACAAGTAATTTCAAGTATTGCTACAGTTACTAAAACCATATCTTTCTATGGAAAACTGAAGATTTAGAAGGCCAATTGAACCAGAGAAAAGATTTGTTGTATGTTTGAGGTAACTATTTTTATTGATAATTAAGTACTCAGATATAATTGGGGTTTTAAATTAAATTTAACTATTTCTTTTTTTAGTTCAGTATTTAAATAATTTATCACTAAGTATTCATTCATAATAATCGATGCAAGAAAAAAAATCAAATTATGTATAATTACATAATTACGAATTAATTTATTTTTATTTATTTATTTATTACAAAGTATAGTTATTTAATAACATCCGACAGTACAAATAATCTTATAAAAGTTTTTCCATGTACCGCCAATTCGTAACTTCGATCATGTTCAATCTCGGTTCGCGTTGCGAAAACTTATTTAATGACGTATATAAATGGTGTGACAAAATAGCAAGATGTTTTTTTAACTAGGTGTGTACCAAAGCAAAATATGGTTAGTATTAAATTAAAATTAGTAATTGAGATAATAATGTTATAATTGTGTGTATCTATGTATATATTTATTAGTAAAATTTTATTTATGTATATTATATATTATGATGTGTGTTAGTGGATATAGTTTTATATTTTAGTATAAATTATTATTGGGTATCGTTAACAATTTGTCGATAAAATTATTATATATTTAATATTTTTTTAGTAAGTTCATTTTTATTGGTTTAGGAATTTGGTTCAAATTAAAAGTTATAAAAATACAAAACTTATCACGTAAGTCGAAACCACCAGTTATAGTGGAAAATTCACTAAGTTGGCAACATTAGACAACACTGAGTATCAGGAAGCGCTGAACACGCCGCGTTATATGACGTCATCAGCATACGTCCTTCAATACTCGGATACCTACCGCATTTTAAAAAAGTCGGCGCGTACGGTGCGAGTGTATTGGCGAGATTTCATATGATTTCATACAACGAATTCTAAAATAAGGCGCATACGGCGCGAACAAATGTGTGTTCAGCTTTATTCTGTGTATCAGTCAGACACGCACACTATCGTGTACGTCGTAGTACACGTTCAACCACTAGTAAAGCCGGTTCGACTTCGTGAATTAGAAGAACTATACAACAGCCGTCATACGCTGCAACGAATCTTTACCAAAGAGAATTAGCAAATGTTACCAAATATATTATATCTATGATATTAATCCTGAATGAACTCACCGTTAATCCTTGAGCTCTGAGTTGCTGCACAACAGCGGTACTAATGACCCTTAGCTGAGGTTGTTGTTGTAAATATTGTTGTTGAATAGCAGCAAGAGTTGCCGCATCTCCTTGCACTTGTTGCTGAACGAGTTGAGCCTGGTGGACTTGTTGCTGTTGTTGCTGTTGAGCTTGTTGTTGTTGTTGTTGTTGCTGCTGTTGCGCTTGTTGTTGAGCTTGCTGTTGTTGTGCTTGTTGCTGCTGTTGAGCCTGTTGCTGTTGTTGAGCTTGTTGTTGTTGTTGCTGTTGTTGCTGCTGCTGTTGTGGGCCTAGAACATTACATTCATTACTGTTTTTGAGTTCTAATTAATTAAATATGAACAGTTACAAAAGAAAAGGTTAACAACGCTACTCATTTTCAACGGACTTCAAAAATGGAGGAGATTCTCAATTCGACTGTATTTGTTAGGTACCTCAGAACTTTTTTATTTAAAAACTGGTACTTCTCATGTACCATATAAATTTGATCAAGATCTGACTAGTAGTTTTTGAGTTATCCTTAATAATGCGTGTTTAATTGACTTCGACTACATTGATGACGTTCTAATTTTATTTATAATTGAAGTCAGTTGTACAAAATTTTTAATTTTACCACTTGTTAGATTACAATAGTTGCTGATAGTTGGTAGATCTTCTTTTCTATGTGGGAGACCTTCTGGATTAGTACCACCCTCTTACATATTTCTGTGACCAGGCAGCACGTGGTAGAGCCATGCTGCAACTATATTAGTGGTATAGTTGTAGCACGAATGGGTCGGCTCCACCGGGGAAGAACCACGCTCTCACAGAGTACCAGCGTAAAATAGCAGCTTAACGCTGCTGTGTTTCGCATGGTGAGTGTACAGAACTGGAGACCCTTTTTACTGGAAATGAGGCATCTTAGTCCTCACGGGTGACAACGCATCTGCATTTTGATTTGTAATAGAGGATAGATGTAGATGTTTATGGGCTGCAGCAACCACTTACCATCAGGTGGACTGTGTGCTCGTTTGTCACCCTTATCCTATAATAATTTAAAATTAAAAATTTTGTACAGCCGACTTCAGTATAAGTTATTAACAATAACTCAAAAACTATTGGTCTGACCTTGATCAAATTATAGGACCACACGAGACGTAACAGCTTTCATATAAAAAAAGAATCATCGAAATCGGTTCACCCAGTAAAAAGTTATGAGGTAACACACATAAAAAAAAAACAAAAAAAATACAGTCGAATTGAGTACCGTGTCCTTTTTGGAAGTCGGCAGAAAAAAAAGTTCACTAACTGTTGTGTTCTGGTTTAAAATACATGGATGCCAGTACAATCACAGGTTGTGCGGCATTCCATTTCATATCTCAGAGGTGATAATGCATTACAGATGCCTTCTTTGTTTGGAGTTATTTATATGTGTGCATGAGTTGTAGTTCCCACTTACCAACAGGTGGTGCATAAGTAGTTTGTTATTTTAATGTTATTTTAAAACCAAATAACTATTAATGTTCTTTTAATCAGTTACAACCTAAGGAACCAATTTAGTTTAATAAAAATGCACATCATTCATTATTCAGTAATTACGTCTAGGTATATATATATATATATATATATATATATATATATATATATATATATATATATATATACCTAGACGTAATTACTGAATAAAACTTGTGAAATATTTTAGGTATAATTAATTAAAAGGACATATGGGTCTGTGTCCAGCAGTGAGAGGTATAACAGGCTGTAACTTTAACCCGATTTTATATATATGCATATTAATAACATTATTAAAAATTCTTACTAAAGTGTTGTTGTTGCTGTTGTTGTTGTTGGTCCTTGTCCTGTTGTTGTTGGTCGGGCCCCATGTTGGCGGCGCCGAGACGGCTACACGTGGCCGCCAGGAGTGCTAGAGGAGACTGATTGCCACTTGCCTCCTAGAAAATGTGTGATCTGATATAATATTTATGGTGTATTATTTAGGTATAATATATAGGTATAAGGATAATACAATAAACAATATCTAATATATGAAATTCAATGGTTTATTGTCATTATTAACATCATTACAGCCGGATAGAAAGTCTACAGCTGAACATAGATCTTCCCAAGGGAATGCAACAAAAGTCACAAAACACAGTCAAAATTAGAAAAGGTTGAAAATATTTGTAAAAGTTCACAACTTGTTTGACAAACCTAGTCTAAACCTAATCATAGTCAAAAAAATCCAAATTTGATCTCAATTTGATAGCTTCCATATACAAATGTTAAATAAAAACATATATGAGAATAAACAGATAAAACAGTTCAGTGTGTTAACCCTGTGAATTGCAAAAGAACAAAAATGAGGTTGAAACTGTCAGATGAACCGGTGAATGACTCAGAATACTTTTACTCCTAGCGGAGAGTGAATGACAGCTGGAAATTTGTAAATCTGATTCAAAATAGAGAGAGATGGAAAAGCCAGATTATATAGTTACATTGTCTTGTTTCATAAGCAAAATATCTATGGTAATAAATAGTATTCTTTAAATATTTATTATTTTAATTAAAATGATGATTTAAATGTTATATCATAGTGATTTATTGTGATTTGTCTATCTGTAACTATCATTACCTAACTATTATAAGCACAAACAACATTATTATAAGTTTGTTCTTAACATTCACTTTTTAAGTAATAATAATATAATATATTAATTATATTACATACATTTAAAGTTTTTAATTTGTTTCTTTAATTTTTTTTTAACATTCACCACTAATATAACCAATAATGTTAATTTTAAATATTTCTGTTATTTTCATAAGAAGAGTTACATATTATGATAAGATTTAAGAATGGAGGTTTGTATCTTTTTAATGAAACACACCATAAATAGGTATCATCTCAAAGAGAAAGGATTTCAGGTATTATTCCTTGTTATATTTCCATTTAAGATAAGATGGCAAAAGAGTGATGAAAATGGTGTTTTCTTAAGTGTCTAAGATTTTGAAAGCATGCGTATGAACCTGAATGACATGTCATAAATGTTTGTCTATACTGACATGTATAGGTACAAATAAAAATATTTACACACAATTCATTTTATAATCTTTATCTAACTATGCCTACTAAATGTTAAACATGCATGATAAGTATATGCCATATATATAAAAGTTGTTGAAGGATATAAATTCCAACTGAGTTTGGATCAACATTATTTATTTTTTTAAGTACTACATTGTTTACATTTGTTTTTGGTAATTACACATATTTGCTTGCAGTAAAATTTTAAATGAAGGAATTGAACAAAAGACAATTAAACAATGGCTAATAACTATTTATCATTCCAACAATTGTTCCATTGTCATTAAAGCTCCTTTACTGATATTTGTATAAAATGCTGTTTAAGCTCTCTTTCCCAGAATAAATACAAATAAGATGTAATATAAGAGAAAATGTGGTTAAATTTATTTATCCTACTTAGGGCAGCTTTTCAATCATGATATACAAGTTACCATCAACTAAATTATAACCTGACTGACTATAAAATACAAAACAAATTGAACTATTTCATTCATCATACAACTGTCATTTTTAATTTGTTAATATTGTACCTACTAACCTTTAATAATTGTTAACTGATGATTTAAAAAAATCAGCCCTAAATATGCATGTACATTATACATAATACAAAAAAACTGTGTATTAGAAATACAATATATTAAATCTGTAACAAAAAAAAACTATTTGCATTAATTTCTTTTATTTTTAAAATTAATTACCTAATAAAATGGCAGTAACAATTTCATATCCTCCACTTTTTAAGTAGGTATATACCTATAATATATATAGTTATAGTTAACAAGATATTCTGCAATATTGTGGGGCCTTAATTTTTTTTTAATAAAAGCGGACAGATGTAATCATGTCCAGACTTCTAATGTGAGGACTACACCATATACCAGTATGTATTGCAGGGACGAGTTTTTAGTAAGTAGTGGCAATTTTATAGATAAATACTTCATGTATTTTCATTCCAACAATGTCAGATTTTTTCAATAAACATCGACTTAGGCCATCATTAAAAATTAATATTATTTTTTGCCAAATTTTTTAAACAATCAGGGGAGTTTTCATTAATCTTTGAAAGTTAGAAATTATTATAAAGTTTGTTTATTGCAGTAGTTAGGAGTCGACACGCCTTTTCCTAACAAGTGCCGGGAGCCGGGAGTCGTCGCACGCAAGGTCGCCGCCGCCCTTTGGTCCACCCACCTTTGCTCGCGTGACCGTGATTTTTAATTTTAACAATTGTAAACCTGCTGCATGGTTGATTTATACTACACGCTAACAACTACACGTAGCAAACATATAATGTAATATGATTAAAAATAAACATTGTGAATTATTCTTATTCCTATACTAGGAATTTTGACACTGCAGATTGAGAAATGAGGTTTGAACTGGGTTTGAAGCATTCCATTTGATTCGTATGACGAACATAAACGTTTTGTGGTATAAGTAGGTCAGTTTAAAAAATATAATAAGTTATAGTGCTATATGAGTGGGAAAGAGATTCGGAAGAGGCTGTTGATGCTATTTCGGCAAGGGAGTAGCTCACGACGCGGTCACAACCTCCCGCGTGTGGCCTGGCGGGCCCCACACGGCCGGGGCCGCGCTCGCCCCGCCCTCCCCCTTCGTCGACCGACACACGAGACCGCTGCTCGCTGGCGTCTAATTTGTTACACAATAACACTGCAACCATTCACTGTACACATTTACCTTGATAATTTTATCCTCACTAATATATTCCACCTGCACTTTGGAAGACTCAGACGACATCATCTACTTCACACTTGCAAACAATTATTTTTCTTTGTTCACGTACGGAACGCACCATTCTCACGACCGGCCGCCAAACTGCGGCGAGTGAACTGACGATTAGAAACGAAAGCATTCGGAATGCTTCGGAGATCCGCCTCCTATCGCGGTCGTATTTATTACAGTTTTATTCTTTAAAAAATTATAATTTGCTAGTCTAAAGAAAACAAAGTTGCTTTCTGAAAAACATAATACAGTGGGCATCTTATACTAAAGTTACTTTTCCTTAATATCATCTGAACACTTATAAAAGTACTTATTTTACTTTGACGGCCACTAACTCTGTCTCTTTCTCTCAAAGACAGGTCTTGATTATTGGTAGGCAGCAGCTGCGCCTCTCTTCTCCTCCCCGTCGCGGGTGCGGCGCCGCCGCCCGATAATAATAATTGAAAGTAGGAAGGACGTAATAATGGGTGTATAACCTCGCGCCCGCGTCCTCCTTGGGCGGGCAAAAAATGCACACATGTCGTGTCGTTTGACGCGCCAGCCGCAACAAAACGTGGCCTGTAAACAAACGATAAGGATACGCTGGTGCACTCACAAATCTTTATTAACATGACACTGTGTAGATTACGACACTATTAAAGTCTGAGAATTTCTTATCGGTCCTGACTTTTGTTTTGCATTCCATTCGCAAAGAATTTTTTTTTTTATTGTAATTAGTATCTTTGGCAGGGTTTATATTAATTAATACATACGCAGTAGTCAAAGCAAATATAATATATTCCAGTAGTCATTCCATCATGCTGTTATGTCATCAAAGATTTATGAAATTAAACTAGTTAACCATTAATTTAGAAACATACTTAAGTATTTTGTAGTGGCTCAAAACGAGAGTGAAAGTTGAACTACGTTTGTCAAGCGTCAGTCGCCTTCGCCCCAAGTCCATTATGCACGAATGAGCAGCCGCCCCGAGAGAGCGTGTGTCCCGGCTTAATTATTTCTAATATTTCATCGCAACTTTGATTCTTATAAATTAACAAATAAAGTTAAAAATCGTTTACATATCAAATATTCTCTTCATATTTTCGAACAAACTGTCATCAACCACCTAGTTGGTTTATATTCATCCTTATGCTAATGAGAATAAAGCACAAAACAAATTTTGTTAAGTATAGCTTGTACATCGTTGTTTGTTTCGAGTTAGCTTTATTATGGGTGTACCTTGGCGTGGCATGGCATGCGGTAGCAGTGTGACGTTATACTGTTTGCGTACATGAACAGTTACTGATGAAATCATCACATGCATGTTAATTTTGGTTATTGTTCAAAATTTTATTGCTTATAATTACGCATCAGAAATGTTGTGCATAAAGTGATTGCATATATAGGTACCTACTACAAAAAAAGAAACTTGATGATGACGTAATTTATCTTATACGAGCAGCAATGAATTCTGCGCTCCAATAATTTAAAAAAAAATCGTAAATAACATTAGTACCTAATTTTGGTAACATTGTGTAAGTACGATAAATAATTATAGATACATTATTTTCATAAGTAATAGGTAAATGGATATTTAACGCAGTTCGCAACAGTAGAACAAGTTCTGTCTACGAGTAATTTTATCCCAAAATGATTGTGATCAGTTAATCGTTTCCTCGCTCTGCCAAGGTAATCTGCTTCTTATACTTTATTACGCAAGGAGTTGTGGAACAACTGGGAAAACAGATTAATGAGTGTCGAACGAATTTATAGACATTCATACAAAGATATTTTATAGGTCTAAAACATCTTTGCATTCATAATTAATAAACTTGAACTAAAAGACTAAATGTCACTATGTTTAACTTATAATCAATATGCATACGCATTATCAATTTCATTGTTTTGTTTGCATTTTGTATTCCAATTCCAAATTTAAAATAAATCTGCTTATGATTTCATTGTTGCTCGATTTCAATGAAGACCTTTTTGTTAAATTTTCTCATAGTTACAATTGGCTAACACATAGGTACCTACGTACACAAGTATTTTGTTATTCATTAAAAACTTCCTATGATTTTTAACCTTGTGAAGTTCTTAGTACATTTAGTAAAGACTCAAATTATTTGATTTAGGTACGCATATGTACGCACTTGAGTCCTCTTGTGTTATAACGTGGGTATAGATAATATTATGTATGCAATACGTGGTAGATACACGTAGACTTTATAGGTATCTAAATCCATACTTATGTGAAAGTAGGAAGTGTTTGCATATTTCCTACAAAAGTAGCTTGTCGATTTTGAGACATTTTAGGGTGCCAGCCAGTGCTAGGTTGTTTAGTGAAATGTCAGTGCACCGGGATAGTGCTGAGCAGTCCACAGGTTGACGGAAACGGAAGTGACGGTGGGCGTGCCGGACCGCCCGCGCCACCCGCCCCCCGCACCCTGACACGCCCTAGCTCTTACGAGTCATGCTGCACCTGACTAATTAGACAGTCACTGCGCGATAATCATTGACCTAAATCAGCGGATATCATTGACCCTTAATTTGCACCAACGTGTATAAACGGCAGGTGGGCGGAACAGGAAGCGACTCATAAATAGATAGTTTCTTACGATCATTCATACGGCTTTTATTAATGGTAAAATATAATAAACTACAATGAAACAACTGTTATATTTCACTCAGGTTTATTCAACGAATAGCTACATAGATAAAGGATGTTTTTGTTATTGCAAGACCATACAAGTGAACGATAAACAAATATAACGTAGGTAGTAGTTACCGTTCATTTGTTTAACCTTTATAAAATTAACTCTTTAACCATAGATGATCATTAATCTATGTCTTTAACTTATAATTAGATACTATTGTCGTTTTAGACTACAACATCTTAAAAGCCTATCATCCAATTACTTACATTATCTAGTAGCACTACAAGATAGGTCTTCATTACTGGCTAGAAATCTGTCTAGATTGGTTCCACCCAGTATTTCTGGCACCCAGCAACACTGCTGTAACCTGTTTATAGGATAAGGTAGCTAGTATAAGGGGAAGTTATGAGGAATTTCGTCATAGTCGTCCGGTATGATGACGTAGGTATCTTATTTTCTTTGTTTAAAGTCGGTACAAAGTGTCCATGGGTACATACAATAGCCACTTCGGATGAACTCGTTTGTCACTTTTCGATTCATAGATATTGTTTAGGTACCCTATCAATCACTTTTTCAACTAAATTAATTAATACATTTCATTGCCTAATATATCATTATCATCATTACCACTACAGTCCACTGCTGGATATAAGCTTCCCCAAGGAATGCCACTAAGCACGGTCCTGACTCCTGAGCCACCTGCATCCATTGACATCTTACATCTCGTCACTCCACCTAATAGGGGGATCGCCCTACAATTCACTTAGAGGCCGCCACTCGAGAACCTTTATTTCGCTATCGGTATCGGACAAAGATAGATAGGCTTATCATCTTATTATTTATATTTGCTACTTATTTTTGATAAAACTGTTTATTGTATTTTTTTTTAATAGGATAGGTTGACAAACGAGCACACAGTCCACCTGATGGTAAGTGGTTACTGTGACCCATACACATCTACATCTATCCTCAATAAAGAATCAAAATGCAGTGCAGATGCGTTGTCACCCGTGAGGACTAAGATGGTATGCCTCTTTTCTAGTAAAAAGGGTACCTCCGATTCTGATATGAGAGATGGATATTATTCCATCTCGCTTTCTTATAGCTGCCAAGGCCATCTACACTACGTCAGAAGGGGTCGTGACGGAAAAATCTTACACTTTTTCTCGCATAGCCCCCATCCGTCAAATTCGTACCGTCCGATAAGGAACTTGGTTCCAAAATTGGATGGAAGTTACTATAGTATCTTAGAATAGTGGATTAGAACCCACGACTTTAAACTTTCACTGCCTGTACTCCCAAGAGAATAGTTTGCTTTGAATTGGTGCGTTCTTAATCGTTTTATTACTCTGTTGTTTACGATATGACGATATTTTGGATCTCAGAGCAACTTTATGTCCCCAATTTAAGTCATGTACCTGCATTCTGTACACGACCTATATTACGTAGAGAAATAAATAAACAATATGTAATGCGTTTCGTTTGTGCTTTGTGGTAGTAGGTAGGTAGTAGGTAGCTGCTAAGGTCCGGGAAATCGAAAACTGAATATACATAGATAAATGATACCTCATTTATTTATCGTAAATATAATAAAGCTATTGGTAAATCCAATTGTGCATGCTTTAAGCGCAATAAAAAAATTACGTATAACATGACTATACGTAAATTTTTAAAGTACCTAGTTCAATTACACACAAGTTTTCACTAAAAACCTTATAATTATTAGGTACTAGGTACCTATAGGTGCTTCCAATCATCCAATAATTTTATGTCAAATTTCAATTTAAAAAAAAACCTTAGAAAATCCAAAAGTGCACGACTCATAATGCTCATAAGTATTATGATCTTGAAAAAATTAAAAAAAAAAGTAGTTCTTTGCATCAAAGAGATCCAGTAGCAGTCAACGAACTACACCTACAAGTCACTCCCTCAAGTCCGGAGGTACAGTTTATTCATAGGTAACTAAGAAAACTTCTTACGTGGTAGAGCCATGCTGCAGCTATATTAGTAGTATAGTTGTAGCACGAATGGGTCGGCTCGACCGGGGAAGGACCACGGTCTCACAGAATACCAGCGTAAAATAGCAGCTTAACACTGCTGTGTTTCATATGGTTAGTGTAGAGAACCGGGGATCCTTTTTACTGGAAAAGAGGCATTCAAACTTAGGCCTCACGGGTGACAACGCATCTGCATTTTGATTCGCAAACGAGGATAAATGTAGAAGTCTCTGGGCCACAGCATCCACTTACCATCAGGTGGACTGTGTGCTCGTTTGTCACTCTATCCTATAAAAAAAGCGAGCCCACACTCGGGACACCTAGTTCTCCTCCTCGAGTAGTTCCAGTAGCAGTCATTAAAGTACACCTTCAGGTTACTCTTATT